AATCTTGAAGGGGTGTCCTTGGGTGGGATTGCCCCTATGCAGTCTGCTTGCCCAGTCACTTTGGTGGGAGAGCTGGATCTGAAGTGAGCATAGGTCATGTCTTCTCCTGGGGTGTGCTGGCAGCTACCACTTTGGTGGGAGGTAGGGCTATAGATGAAGGGGCTATAGCCAGAGCCAGGTGTGAGCTGGGGCTTTTCCTTTGCTCTTCCAGTGGCAGTCACCTTCCTGTCTGGGTGGGGTCTGGCGCCCAAGGTGCTGGAGCACAAGCCCTGAGGGTTGGTCTGAGCCGGCTCCCATCCTTCTAAGTGTGTGCACTCCTCTAGCAATGGCACCTCAGCCCTAGTCGAGAGCAAGAGGGGCTGGAGCAGGCGCGTGGTGTGGGCTGGGGTGCATGCTGGAATGGTCTGGGAAGCCAGTCAGAGCCCCAGGCAGTTTTCAGCCTGCAGCCTGCAGCCTGATGTGCATGCTGTTAATGGCTGCCTTCACGCTATTCAGAGGCAGTCAAGTCCAGGCTGGCTTCCTTTTCTTTAAGTGTGTGCACTCCCCTTAGCAATGACAGCCTTCGCCCTAGTGGAGAGCAGTGCTGGAGCAGGAGAGGCTGGAGCAGGCAGCTGGTCAGAGCCTCAGGCAGTTTTCAGTCTGCAGCCTCCATGCTATTCCCGGGAATAAGTAAGTGTGTGCATACTCTTCACAAGCAGAGTCCTGGTTTCTTACAGCCCTCCAGTAAGTCCCACTGGTTTTCAAACCAGCTAAGGGTAATTGTGTTACCGGTGTCAGACCCTTGGGCTGGGGTGCCTGGTGTGTGGCTCAAACCCCTTGCTTCCCAGGGTGGTTCCCTGAGCCTGTGTGTGATATCCCCCTCCTTTTCTGTGTCCCCTGCTAAGGGCCTGGGTCCCAACCTAACTGGTTCTCCTCCCTTCCTCCCCGACTCCATGTGCATCTTTCTTCACAGCCTTGGTTGTAGAAGAGCCTTTTTGCCAGTTTCCAGGTTGTTTACAGTGATGTAGATGTATTTTTGATGTGTTCATGGGGGCGGGTGGGCTCAGTGTCCTCCTACTCTGCGTTCTTGATCTCCCTCCTAAAAGGATTAACTCTTTTTAAAAAATGTATTTATTTATTTTTTCTGTTATGGTTTATTACAAGCTACTGAATATAGTTCCCTGTGCTATACAGTAGAACCTTGTTGTTTATCCATTCTGTATATAATAATTTCATCTGCTAGTCCCAAACTCCCAATCCATCCCTCCCTCTTGGCATCCACAAGTCTGTTCTCTATGTCTGTGAGTTTGTTTCTGTTTCATAGATAAGTTCATTTGTGTCATACTTTAGATTCCACAAATAAATGATATCACTTTGGTAAGTAGTAGTTGTCTTTTTTCTGACTTACTCTATTTAGTATGATAATCTCTAGGTTCATCCTTATAGCTGCAAATGGCATTGTTTCATTCTTTTTTATGGCTGAGTAATATTCCATTGTGTGTGTGTGTGTGTGTGTGTGTGTGTGTGTGTGTGTGTGTATATACATATATATATGTATATATATATATACATACACGCCACATCTTCTTTAAAGGATTACTCTTGATGCTGTATTGAGAATAGACCATATGCCATGGGATCTGAACACTAAGCATTGCTAAGAGACCCACCCAGCACCAAGACCATAAAAAAAAAAAAACAAAAAAACCCCCAACTTTTTATTTGGAAATAATTTCACACACACCAAAGTAAGAATAGTACAAATACCCATATACCCTTTTGTTAATATTTTGCCCTATTTGCTTTATCATATTGTGCCCCTCTCCCCTTCTCCCTCTCTCTCTCCCTCTCTCTCTGTGTATACACACACACACACACACACACACACACAAATATGCACACACATACATGCACTGGTTTTCTTATGAATCATTTTACAGTAACTTGACTACACCATGGCCCTTATCCCTGTAAACTTGAACTGTATTTCATTACCATAAGAATATTCTCTTACATAACAGTTATCAGTTTGAGTAAATTTGAGATTGATACAGTACATTTATTTAATCTACCTTCTGGTTTCCACTTTTGTCAGATGATTTCAATGATGTCCTTTATGGCATTTTTTAACCCTTCTGTACAGGATCCAATCTAGGATAATGTATTGCATTTAGTTTTCATGTCTCTTTGGCCTCCTTTAATCTGGAACATTTCCACAGCCTTTCTTTGTCTTCTCTCGTTACATTGACATTTTAAAAACAGTATTGTTCCTTTTCAAAAATTGAGTATTTCTCATTTGGAGTTTATTTTTTGTCATGATTATATTTATATATATCTAGTCTAATGCTTAACTACCTAAATGGTATATGTCCTTCTCAGGGAATCACAAGGAGGCATTACATGTCTGTATGCCTCTTATTGGCAATACCAATTTTGGTCACTAGTCAAGATGTTAACATTTTTCTCCTTGTTAAATATAAGGAAACATTTTAAGACCATGGTCCTCATCAAAATTCACCTCACATATGGCAAATAGGTATATGAAAATGTGCTCAGCATCACTAATATCAGAGAAGTGCAAATCAGAACCACAATGACATATCCCCTCACACCTATTAGGATAGCTGTTATCAAAGAGACGAGAAATAACAAGTGTTGTAGAGGGTGTGGAGAAAAGGGAGCCCTTGTGCACTGTTGGTGGGAGTATAAATAGGTGCAGCCACTGTGGAGAACAGCGTGGAGGTGCCTCAAAAAACCAAAACTAGAACTACCGTATAATCCAGTAATTTCATTTCTGGGTATTTATCCAAAGGAAATGAAAATATTAACTTGAAAAGATACATGCACCCCCTTGTTCATTGCAACATTATTTACGATAGCCAAGACACGGAAGCCACCTAAGTGTCCATTGGTGGATGACTGGATAAAGATGTGGTATATCTACACAATGGAATATTACTTAGACATAAAAAAGAAGGAAATCTTGCCATTTGTGACAACACAGATGGACCTTGAGGGCTTTATGCTAAGTGAAATAAGTTAGAGAAAGGCAAATACCATATCATCTCACATATACGTGGAATCTAAAACAAAAGCAAAAGCAAAACAAAAAAAAACCCCCAAACTTATAGATACAGAGAACAGATTGCTGGTTGTCAGAGGCAGTGGGTGGGAGATGGGTGAAATGGGTGAGGGTGGTCAAAAGGTAGAAACTTCCTGTTATAAGTAAATAAGTCATGGGAATGTAATGTACAGCTAATACTGTATTATGTGTTTGAAAGTTGCTAATAGAGTAGATCTTCAAAGTTCTCAACATACACAAATTCCTAATTATGTGTGGTGATAGATAGTAACTAGACCTATGGTGATCATTTCACAATATATACATGCATATACAAATCATGTTGTACACTTGAAACTAAGATACTGTTATATGTCAATTATAGCTCAATTAAAAATAAAAAATTTACCTCCTAGATTTAGCATGCATTGGTGATTCTTGCTTGACCCAGCGCCATTCTTAATCAGTAGTAAGTGAGGGAGAGAGTCTAATAATCTTCTTTTAAAAAGTTACTTAGTGAATAAATAAATGAGTTTATTTAAATGTACCACAGTAAAGTTCACTTTTTGTGATGTACAGTCCTATAGGTTTTGAGAACTGCTTCGAGTCACGTATTTACCACTAGAGTCGTGATACAGAGTAATTCCATCAACCCTTATGTGTCCCTTTGTAGTCAACCCCTCCCCTCTCCCACAATCTTTTACATATCCTTCTGGTTCCATTATAAGAGCTGTGAGTATGCAGAGCATGGGATAAACTTCTACCTTTTTGAGCCATAATTTCTGTGTTTGTAAAATGGGTATATTCGTAAGGACCCTGTGAGTTTGTTGTGAGGATTGTGATCAGATAACCTCTGGTACAGTACCTGGTACTTGTTGACATTTTTTTTTTTTTTTTTTTTTTTTTGCGGTACGCGGGCCTCTCACTGTTGTGGCCTCTCCCGTTGCGGAGTACAGGCTCCAGATGCGCAGGCTCAGCGGCCATGGCGCACGGGCCCAGCCGCTCCGCGGCACGTGGGATCTTCCCGGACCGGGGCACGAACCTGTGTCCCCTGCATCGGCAGGCGGACTCTCAACCACTGTGCCACCAGGGAAGCCCTACTTGTTGACATTTGATAAATAAATATTAGTTCCTTCTCTGCTTCCTCTAAAAAGCCTCTGGTTCTATTTCCTAGGTTTATCTTCAGACTCAAAAATATTTTTACTGTCACTAACCCAGTGAGAATTGTTTTTCTTCTCTTCCACTTATTATTGAAAAACTTTGTTTTGGAAAACTTCAGTCATATACGACATGAAGTATATTCATATGTAGAGAGAGAAGCATAATGAACCCCCATATACCTCATTACCCACCTCCAACTGTTACTAACTCATGGCCAATCTTGTTTTCTCATCTTTACTCCCCACCCCCCTCATCCCCACCTCCAGGTTATTTTGAAGTAAGTCTCAAATTTTTCCATCTGCAGATATTTCAGTTTGCATCTCTAAAAGAACTCACTTAAAAAAATAGCCACAATACCATTATTATATATTAAAAATTTAACAGTAATTTCTTAATATCATTAAACGCCTGGTGTTCAGATTTTCCTAGTTGTTTCTGTCTCTTTAAATTAGGATTCAAATAGGTCTACATGGCACTGGTTGATCTCTTTCTTAAATTTCTTTTAAACGAAATGATCCCCCTCCCTCTCTTTGTTTTTTCTTGCAATTTTTTTCTAGAAGAATTGCTCCTATTTTTGAATGCAGACCTTGAAAATATTTTTGAATAAGCACCAAATAATTTGTAGCTTTTACTTAGGAAACTCATAATGATGATAATTTAAATGATACATAACTTCAAGGAAAAAATTAAATGTAGAGAAACTTAATTTTTGGCTGAATTGTATGATTATGCAGTTACAAATGCTGGTTTTTGAGACTGTGAACAGTGCATTTATTAAAGTTTTAAACACTATTTACAGGTTAAGGACTCTGTCTCTGAGAAGACAATTGGACTGATGAGAATGCAGTTTTGGAAAAAAACTGTGGATGATATATACTGTGACAGTCCACCACATCAGCCTGTGGCCATTGAACTATGGAAGGTAAAAAAAAAAACAACCCCCCAAAAAGACCCCTACTTTTCATTTGTAAGAATGTTATTTGAGCATACTTTTTGTTACATACAATTTGGATAGTGTCAATGGGGAATCTATCCTGAAAATAATTTTAGGCTCATGTAATGTTCAGATATACGTTAGATTTGACAGAATTTAAAATCATCCACGAATAATTTGCACACATCTTCAGTGTATTTCTTTATAAAAGGAAGAAGGAGAAATCTGATCTCTATATGTTATAAGTTATTTTCCACATATTTGATCGCAGAATGTAAGCCCTACAAATTTTGAAGCAGTGGCAGGTACATTTTCTGTCTGCCCAGCAGCTCCTTATTCCAGTGCTTTAATCCGTACTCTGGGCAGTAGAAAATCACGCACTGATCTCTTGTGACAGGAGACGTGCTCTCATCATTGTCCAGACACAAATCTAAAACTGCCTTGTCTAGTTTGATAGAATTGCATATTTGTTGATGAATTTTAGGTGTCCGAGAATGGAAACCTATGGACTAGGGTATTATTTGTAAACTAGATGTATTTAGTAATTAGTTTTACATTAAAGCTGTATGGATTCTTCATTCACAAACAGCCATGCACAGTTTAGAAATACGCTGAACTGTGAACAGAGAAAGGGAATTAGGTACCTTTCATCACTGATCTGTGTCCCTATTGTAATATGATGAATGCCAAAAGATAGTTTCCATCACAGGAGCCACTGACAGACCTGACAGTGGTACGCCTCTTCTCAGGTCTGAGCCCCAGCAGAGGCAGGCCCCATTTGTGGGCCCCAGATTGACTTCACAGAGCCTCAGTAAGGATGGAGAGCCAGGCCCCTCCACTGGGGACTGAGAAGAAAGAGTGGATGGGAAGCTTGTGAGTATTAGATTAGTTGTTTAGCTTTATTCATCCCACTTCAAGAATCTCATCCTAGGTGACTCAGTTTAGAAAAAAGTTTCTCTAAAAATCCAGAAACTCTTATTTATTTTATATACAAACCTGACTGCATTAGAGGTTTATGCTAAGATGTGCACTGAAGATTCTGACCTTTGTCAGGAAATAATGTGAAAGGTCAGAGATTTCTTTAACACAAATTTATCTTGCCTTCGCTTCTCTTAAAAAAATTCTGGAAAACATATCTAAATTACACAATGTTTACGTATATGCCAATTTGTCCAGTTTTAATAGCTGCTTAAGTTTTGTTGATTAACGTTGACCAGCTTTCTTTTTTTTTTTAATTTATTAAGTAATTTATTTTTGGCTGCATTGGGTCTCTGTTGTTGTGCACGGGCTTCCTCTAGTTGTGGTGAGTGGGGGCTACTTTTCGTTGCGGTGCGTGGGCTTTTCATTGCAGTGGCTTCTCTTGTTTTGGAGCACAGGCTCTAGGTGCATGGGCTCAATAGTTGTGGCTTGCGGGCTCTAGAGCGCAGGCTCAGTAGTTGTGGCACATGGGCTTAGTTGCTCTGCAGTATGTGGGATTTTCCCGGACCAGGGATTGAACCCATATCCCTTGCATTGGTAGGCCAGTTCTTAACCACTGTGCCACTGTCTGGAAGTCCCTGGCCAGCTTTCTGATATGACAGGTATTGAAGGTTAATATAAGTATTTGAAAGAAGCAGGTAGTGTTCAGACCAGTTGTCCTGATTGCATATTCCCTACCCCTCCCCGTTCTGTTGGAACATACCCTATTGCGCCACTGTCCAGTCAAACTTTCAGTTGATTCTTTGAAGAGTTTCAGGTTCTTTAGAAGATTAAATAGGGAAACAGTGACATGTTGTCCAAAGAGTACATTCTTGCCACACTGTTTCATTGGTGCCTTTAGGGTACAAAATAGTTGAATATCTATAATTTCTAATATTTATAGCCAAGGTTTTTGTTCTATTTGGCTTCTATTTCCAAAGTTTTGATAGTTTTGTTCAGCAGGTTTTCAGCTTCTTATAAATATTTATTTTTTATCTTGATCTCCGATTTCCTTCAGAATCAGACAAGAGAGCTATATTTTGTGGTCAAGGAACTGCAGCTGTTATAGTGTCAGTCTTGAGTAAATAGGAGTCTGACTTTTCAGTGGTTAAGTATTTATTGAGTACTTTTCTGTGCCAGGAATGGTGCTTGATGATGTGGTTACAAAGATCAAACAAGTCCTGCCCTACTCAGACATGTGCAAAATAAAACAAGAGCAGAACTCTAATGACTGAGGTATCCCAGGCTGATTCCTGGGACTGGGGAGACAGGCCTGTAGAGAGTCCTGCTATGTAATTGTAACAATGCTGAGAGCACTTGGAAACCAACTCCATGTAGCCCTTTTAGCTTCTGTTAAGTTCCTGTAGGGCAAAGTGGGCTCCATTCTCCACAGATCCACCCTTTGTCACATAAATGTGTATAGATGATCATGTCAGCCTTTACATTTTAGTATCAGTGACATCTTAGAGTCTCAGTTGAAGTATAGGATATATTCCTAAGACTTCGTTTCACTACTATATTTATTTATTGTGAAAATATATTATACTTAGTGTTGACTTGGTAAGAAAACAATGTTTTAAAAACTTATTTGGAAAAAACTTCAACATTTCAGAAAGGTTACAAAATTAAAAATAGTATAAGAACATTTCTATATCCTTTACCTAGATTTACCTGTTGTTAACATTTTATCCCATTTGTTAATCATTTTGCGTGCTCACTCAAGTGTGTGTGTGCTAGCATGCTCTCTCTGTATATATTTTCACATTCATAGGTTTTTAAATCATTTGAGTATAACTTACATACATCATGTCCCTTTGTCCCTAAATACTTTAGTATTTCCTAATAGAGACATTCTCTTATATAACCAGAATAGTTATTGACTTTAGTAAATTTAACTTTGATATAACACTTTTCATCTATAAATTTCATCTAATTTTCCATTCATATTCCAATTTTTTTTTTTTGGTGGTACGCGGGCCTCTCACTGTTGTGGCCTCTCCCGTTGTGGAGCACAGGCTCCGGACATTCAGGCTCAGCAGCCATAGCTCACGGGCCCAGCCGCTCCGCGGCATGTGGGATCTTCCCGGACCGGGGCACGAACCCGTGTCCCCTGCATCAGCAGGCGGTCTCTCAACCACTGTGTCACCAGGGAAGCCCTCATATTCCAATTTTGTCACTTGACCCAATAATATCCACTAATGTATTTTTCCCCTCCAGTGTAGGATCCAGTCAGGTATTTTTTTTTGTTATGTCATTTTAGCTTTAATCTGGAACATTTCCATAGCTTTTCTTTGTTTTCTATGACATTGATAATTTTGAAGAATGTAACCCTTTCTTTTTTTCTTTCTTTCTTTTTTTTTTTTTGGTAGTAGAACATTCCTCATTTTGGATTTGTCTGATGTGTTCTCATGATTAAATGATTCAGGTTATGCATTCTTGGCCAGAATACTGCATAGGTGATGTATTCTCAGGGTATCACATCCGGAGACACATTTTGTCCATCTTTCCTTTATTGGCATTGTTCATTTTCGTTAACAGTCAAGATGTTGCCTGGTTTTCCCAATGTGTAATCTACTGTATAATTATAGTTCCCCTTGTAACTAATCAACTTTAAGACAATGCAAATACGCTATTCCTCATCAACTTCTTGTGAAATTTCCTGCATTCATTGATGGTTCTTGTCTTATCCAGTCTTTACTGTTATGATTGCAGAATGATAATTTCGCAACTCTGATGCTCTGTTCACATTTACCACTTGGCACTCTACTATAGGCAAATGCTCTCGTTCTCCTATATTATTTATTTGTTTATTAATTATTGGTATAAACTCTACTGTTTTTTTCAGTAGTTTATAACTTATTACTATACTTAATTATTTTGGTGTTCCAATAGTCCCAGATTTGGACAGTGGGAGTCCCTTCAAACTGGCTTCTGTGTCCTGACATGCCTTCCATTGTTCTTTTGAGCACTTTCTATTTTCTGGCGCAATAAAATAGAATCATGTTGAGTCTCCCTTGCTCAAGCTCTGGAATCACCCATTTTCTAGACTCTTGTTTCCTTTGCGGGGAGTGGTATTAGAGGCCAAGATCTGAGCACTAGGTGTTCTCTTTCCTACTAGAGTGTCTTTACTTGTAAGATAACACTGTACCCTGCAGATTGTTTTCTTTGGAGCTTTATTACTGTTTTCTTTTTGGAAAGTGTTTATTTTCATTAAATAGAGTCTTCATTTTTATGGAAAAAAGTTTGTGTGTAATAAGTAAGCATAGAAGTTGGGGCATATCACATAGCAGAGAAGCTCCGCTCTGCTTAATTCTTGTTTCGTTTTTGTTTTGAAAGTGGAATCACTAAATTACCAATAATATAAGAAAAAAAAGACAAATTAGTGGAAAAGTTTTGGATATATTATCCTTACTTGGAAATGTTTTCTAGGGACATTCTCTTTTTTTCCCTAGTTCTTTAACATAGCTATCTATCTGGTGATGCGTTATTACGAATGCTCCCTTACCTAGTTTTTTTTTTTTTTTTTTGCGGTACGCGGGCCTCTCACTGTTGTGGCCTCTCCCATTGCAGAGCACAGGCTCCGGACGCGCAGGCCCAGTGGCCATGGCTCACGGGCCTAGCCGCTCCGCGGCATGGGGGATCTTCCCGGACCGGGGCACGAACCCATGTCCCCTGCATCGGCAGGCGGACTCTCAACCACTGTGCCACCAGGGAAGCCCCCTTACCTAGTTTTGTATTTGGTTTGTTTATGTTATTCAGGTCTACAGAAGTCATTTCCAGTACTTTCTAAAACTTACAACTCTTGTTTTTTTTAGGCTGTCAAAAGACATAATCTGACTAAAAGATGGCTTATGAAAATCATTGATGAAAGAGTAAGTTGAAATTGCTCAAGTCTTAAGTTTTTTCTTCCTTTTTAATCCTTAAGCTAATCTTCAGGGAGGAAATGTTTTAGTATGTGTATTAATATTTGGAGAAAGGAAACTTTTAGAGAACTGTACCATTTTATCCATTCTCCATCACTGCATGCCACCCACCTCAGCCGCCCAACCCCGTACCTAGAGACAGACAAGCAAAGACAGGCACCCAGGCAGAGGCATGCGTGTGCACACCACACTCTACTAGTTTGTTTTTTTAAAACAGAAAGTTTTTAAAACAGAAATTTTCAGGCTTATATAAAAGTAGAGAGAATAGTGTAATATACTTCCATGTGTATGTCACCCAGCTTTAATAGTTATGAATACATGTCCAATGTTATTTCATCTATATTCTACCAACTTCCCTCCCTAAACCCTATTAGATTATTTTAAAGTAAACCCCAGACATGTTATTATTTGATCTGTACATATACATGTATCTTGAAAAGATAAAAACTTGTATAAAACAGATAATCAACAAGAACCTGCTGTATAGCGCAGGAAACTCTACTCAATATTCTGTAATAACCTAAAATGGGAAAAGTGTCTGAAAATAGATGTATGTATATGTATAACTGAATCACTTTGCTGTATGCCTGAAACTAAACACAACATTGTAAATCAACTATACTCCAGTATAAAATAAAAATTTAAAAAAAGAGAAAAAAACTTGTATAAAACATAACTATTATATGATTACCAGACCTTTAAAAAGTATGGATAATTCCTTAATGTCATCAAAACTTGAGTAGTTGTACACATATCATTATGCATACCCAGTGCTTGGATCTCTGTCCAAATAGAGGGAATAAGGAAAGTTCAACAGTTCTAGCAAATGGAATCTTATACTGAGTTCTTAGAACTAAGTTCTAGTTCTAACCAAGCATGCAAATTGCTTGATGATCTGGGCTGATTTGTGTAATCTTTCTGACACATTGTTGGCTAAGTGTCCTTGTTGGCCTGATATTTATCACATGTTGTTGTCCTGAAAATGTAAGTTTACTTAGTTTATTTGGATACAATCTATTAATAACCATAGGCTATAGTAGTAATAATATAAGCAAAAATGAGATAATGACTTTAACATTTAAAAAATTGCTCAGTTGGCCTATAGAATTAATTAGTACTAAGAAAATGTATTTTTCAGGTGTCTTCAGTTTTCATGAGGTAAAGAAAATTTGAGAACTCAAGACAGAGATAATGGAAAATCTCTCTTTTTTTCTTAATGAAAAAATAGCAGTTTTTCCATTGTTTAATGGAAAATAACATTTGGCTTTTGTATGGAGGGATAATTAAAAGTAAAGCACTGGGATCAATCTCCCTGCATTGATCTGAAGATTCAGTATAATCCTTATAAAAATTCCAGCTGTATAAAAATTCCATACTTATACAGATAAGTAATAAGCACCTTAAAAGATGCTCAACATCTTTTCATGAGGGACATGAAAATCCAAACCACAATGAGATACCACTTCATACCAATTAGGATGGCTATAATAAAAAGAATGAACAATAATGGGTGTTGGTGAGGATGTGGAGAAATTGGAACCCTTCATACGGTGCTGATGGAAATGTAAAGTGGTGCAGCTGCTTTGGAAAAACTGTTTGGCAGCTCTTCAGAAAGTTAAACATAGAGTTATCATAGACCTAGCAATTTCACTCCTAGGTTGGTATGAGAAATGAAAACGTATCCACACAAAACTTGTGCACAAATGTTCACTCATAATAGTCCAAAAGTGGGAACAACTCATAGTTGAATGAACAAACAAAATGTGTGTATCCATACAGTGGAATATTATTCAGATTTTCTTCAATTAAAAGGAATGAGATACTAAAAGATGTGCCAACGTGGATGAACCTTGAAAACATGCTAATTGAAGGAAGCCAGATACAAAAAGCCACATATTGTATCATCGCATTTTTATAAAATGTTCACAACAGACAAATCCATGGAGACAAAGTAGGTTAGAGGTTTGTCAGGAGATAAGGAAAGGGAGAACTGGGAAGTGACTGCTTAATAGTTACAGGATTCTTTCTGAGGTGATGAAGAGAAAACATTCTGGAATTGGTGGTGATAGTTGCACAATTTTGTGAATATACTACAACCACTGAATTGTATACTTCAAAAGGGTAAATCTTATGGTATATGAATTATGTTCCAATTTGTTTTTAAATGTAATGGAGCTGGGACATATTTTTTCCCCTGGGATTCATTGTTGGTGCCAGTTTCTCCTCATTGTAAAAAAGGAGGAAGGGGTGGAGGAATAATATTACCTTGGCCATCAAGTCTTTGTAAATGTATTATTATAAAAGTTGCTAGATGTTCTAAGATCTACATTTTTCTGTTTCTTGAATATAGTGTGTTCTGGTAATCAACCGTTGGTTTATTGAGCATAGTTTCTTTTATCGGGAATGGGGTGCAGGGCCTGATTGTGATCTCCTTTCTTTTTCTAGGCACCTTTTCCTTATTAAGAGCACGGGCTTAATGGTCAAAATATGTGGGTTTGAATCTTTTCCCCACCACTAATTCGCTGTGCGACCTTGGGCGTATTCCTTAACTTGTTGGTAACTCAGTTTCTTCATCTGCGAAATGAAAAAAGTATTAATTCCTTTTGAGGGAGTTGTTAGGATTAAGGAGATAATGTCTGAAGTGCTTAAGTAAGAGCTCAGTTGTCAATTTCTCATGATACCTCAGGCTTTTAGAAGGAAGTAAAAATTAAGCCAACCCCATGTCCATGGTGATTTGTGCATTGAGCTTATTCCTGAGGTATTATTTTGAGGGGTGATTTGTAAGTATTGAACATGTAGGACTTTAATATTTTAATTTTATTTTAATCTTACTTTATTGTGTAGTAAACAACTTATACTAAAAGTTTTTATTCTTTATTACTCAATTCTTTAGGGCCAAAAAATTGTGCCTTTTAAAAATAAAATATTGACAATTCGTCAAGCAAATAAAGCATTTTGTTTGTAGGAAAAAAATTTGGATGACAAAGCGTATCGTAACATCCAGGAACTGGAAAATTATGCTGAAAACACACAGAGCTCTCTTCTTTATCTAACACTAGAAACATTGGGTAAGTTTTTCTTTTTATACTTCTCTTTTTTAAAGAAAACACCTTTTTTTTTTTAAATTGAAGTGTAGTTGGTTTACAATATTGTGTTAATTTCAGGTGTACAGGAAAGTGATTCAGTTATACATATATATATGTATTTCAGATTCTTTTCCATTATAGTTATTAGAATTGTGTTAATTTCAGGTGTACAAGAAAGTGTTAATTTGTGTTAATTTCAGGTGTACGGGAAAGTGACTCAGTTATACATATATATATATATATATATATGTATTTCAGATTCTTTTCCATTATAGTTATTAGAAGATAATATGGTTCCCTGTGCTACACAGTAAATCCTTGTTGTTTATCTATTTTATGTGTAGTGGTGTGTTATCTGTTAATCCCGTACTCCTAATTTATCCCCCTCCCCTTCTTTCCTCTTTGGTAACCATAAGTTTGTTTTCTAAGTCTGTGAGTATGTTTCTGTTTTGTAAATAAGTTCATTTGTATTATTTTTTAGATTCTACATATAAGTGATATTATATAATATTTGTCTTTATCTGATTTACTTCACTCAGTATGATAATCTCTAGGTCCATCTGTGTTGCTGCAGATGGTAATATTTCATTCTTTTTTATGGCTGAGTCATATTCCATTGTGTGTGTGTGTATACACACACACACACACACACGCACACCCCACATCTTCTTTATTGACTCTTCTGTTGATGGACACTTAGGTTGCTTCCATGTCTTGGCTATTGTAAATAGCACTACTATGAACATTGGAGTGCATGTATCTTTTCGAATTAGTTTTCATCTTTTCCAGATATATATGCCCAGGAGTGGGATTGCTGGATCATGTGGTAACTCTATTTTTGGTTTTTTAAGGAACCTGCATACTGTTAAGAAAACACCTTTTAGACTTCACTCTTTTATAATTTGACAATCTAACCAGTTTAACACTGAAGTTTTTCTTTGCACCAACTAGAAAGGAATAGCTTTTTTTTTTTTTTGAGTTAGAAGGGGAATATAATATATACCTTTCTTTGGAATGGAATGTAGACTAATCACAACACCCAGGCTCTCATAAAAGGACTTTAGCTACGTCATGAGAATGCTGTAATTAATAATCTGGTAATTGCAGATGATCCTCTTTTTTTATGCATCTCCTACAATTTGGAAGGCCTGTAGCCTGACTCCTTCCTTCTCTGGCAATAATACTTGCCCATGTTTAAAAACAAAAGGTAGAAGAAATAAAACTGTCTATCTAAAAGTTTTATGAGATTTGTCTTAAAAAGAAAACAACTATGCCACTTAGATGGTATTTTTCCTACTTTGATTTTGTTCTAAGTTGGTGAGGTCTTATTGTAATGAGGAAATTATTTGGGACAAGGACAGTATCATCCATTTGAAGAAGGTAATATGTCTTTATGTCACCCTAAAAGAATAACCCAAGTCCCTACCAAATTTCCCGGGCCTGTTCTGCCTGCACATTCAGTGACATGTTTGCCAACACAATGAAAGGAGGGAGCGAAGAGCAGAATGTTTGTTAAGCATATACTTAAAATGAGGTCATATGGAAATTGCACTGAGGAGAAGAAATGCAAGACTTGCAGTGTTTTTCCACAATAGCTAATTAAAATTCCAAATGTGCTCTTGGTGTGCTGTACTCTGAGGAAAACTCTTTTATTTAAAAGCTGAAGTTCAGAAACCTGTTTATGGTAAATGGTCAGCTTGTCTTTGTGCCCAGTTTTGCTCTCATACATCCTGTTTTTCAGATATAAAACATGGGAGAAACACCTTTTACATGTTTAGGTCATTTCTCTATGCTGCTTCTGTTGACTTGTTATGCATTTAAAGAGAAAAGAGCAGCCCAGTTGATTTCTAAAATCATAGGTATAAAGGATCTTCATGCAGATCATGCCGCAAGTCACATTGGAAAAGCACAAGGCATTGTAACTTGCTTGAGAGCAACGCCGTATCATGGTAGTAGAAGAAGAGTATTCCTTCCCATGGATATTTGTATGCTGGTAAGGCCGTTGTTTGTACCCTTTAATTATTTACCTCAAGAATATGGGGAGGGACTTCCTGTCTTGGTTCTCTGCTTAGTCTATTCAAGTGACCGTTTTGAAACACATGCTTATTGCTTTTTTGCTCCAGAGTTATCAAGTCAGAATTTTATCAGTCAGGCATTTTAGGTCTGTGGTGGAGCTATGAGTAACAAGGTTCAGAGAACCTCACTTGGTGTACTTACATGTTGATGCCTTACTCCCTTTCAAGCAATTACAGTAATTATTCCTAGTGGTCACCTTAGCCTGTTCTTTATTTTATTTTAAAGGAGGAAATAATCCATTAAAAAAGAATACTGTTTATGAGAATTTTTGTTTTCTGGAGGAGGTTCATTATTGTCTGTTCTATTAAACTTCTTATCTGTCTGTTTCTTGCTTTATTTTGTTTCACCTACAACTGTCATTAGTTAGCATCTTGTTGCATATTCTTCCAGGAGAGAGAGCGTCTGTGTGTGTGTCTATATATGCACTCACATACATATAGATATATTTTAAAAAACAAAATAGGGGACTTCCCTCGTGGTCCAGTGGTTAAGAATCCGCCTTCTAATGCAGGGGACGTGGGTTCGATCCCTCGTTGGAGAACTAAGATCCCACATGCCATGGGGTAACTAAGCCTGCATGCTCTAGAGCCCGAGCGCTGTACCTACTGAGCCTGTGCGCTCTGGAGCCCCTGCGCCGCAACTAGAAAGCTCTTGCGCTGCAGCTGCTGAGCCTGCGCACCACAACTAGAGAGAAGCCCGCACACTGCAATGAAAGAGCCTGCATGCCACGTGTGCCACGACTAAGACCCGGTGCAGCCAAACAAAGAAACAAATAAATAAATAAATATTAAAAAAGAAAAAAAAGAAAACTGACATCATGCAAGCTGCACGGCGTGGCCAAAAAAACCAAAAACCAAGGAAACAAAATAGGCATTATACTGTATATACTGTTCTATCACCAGTTTTCTTGAGCTAGTTTTAATTGTGCTTTTTGAATCCTGATGTAATGTACATTTTCCCACACAGCATGGTGTTTCACAAGAGGATTTTCTACGGAAGAGCCAAGATAAAAATGTAAGAGATGTGGTATATGACATGGCCAGCCAGGCACACTTGCACCTAAAGCATGTAAGTAGCCTCTTTTTGCCAAATCATTTAGGAAACTATCATTTCTAGCTGTGGCTACTCCTAGAGCATGGTTGTAGTGTTCTCTCTTTGGCAGTCCATATCCATCGCTCACTGAAATCCCAATAGATTTATCTCTGGGATTTTTATAAACTTTTTCTACTTTAAAAAAATCTCCTTCTCCCTCTCAGCTTCCTCAGTTAGGCTCCTCTCTGATCCATCCGCTCACTATTTCTCTCTCAGGGGACAGTGTGTCTTTCTGCCTTGTTAAGGCTGATGCCTCTTCTACTCTTCCAGGACCTTGCATCGTCAGCAGTTCCCAGCTGGTATTTTCAGTTGGCCTTTCTGATAACTTGCCCCTTTTATCTTCTGGTTTGTTGCTACTGCCTTCTGAAGTTACAGGCAGCCCATTGGACCCTTCTGTTTCTTACTTTCCCTTCCCAATTAACCTTTTTTGCATAAGTGTTCTACATTCATTTTACCTCAAGGCCCTCACCACCATGGTACCATTCACCATACTATAATTTGGCTTTCATCCTGCTTACTCAAATAATAATCTCTAGTATATAATCTCCTTACTGCCACATTTAAAGGAGTGTCTGATTTGTTGCATTCTTAAACCTTCTTGGTAGCTTTACTCTTCTTGGTAGCTTTACTCTAAACGCTTCCAAGATATGAGCGAATGTAACTTATCTAGGTTGCTCAGTCAAAATAGTTTCTGAAACTAAAATTTACATGTAAGTTATTAGAGCCCAGAAAGTACAAACAAGTGATTGCCATATTTAATATAACTTAAATATATTAAAGCTATAATATTAAAACTTACCAACTAATTAAGCTATAATAAGTCATTAAAAAATAAAGAGTGATTTAGAGAGGGTAGATGTTTTATATGTATATGTATGTATGTGAATGTGTGTGTGTGTGTATATATATATATATATACACACACACACACACACACATACATACATACACACATATAACAGAGGAAGAATCAGCTAGACTTGATAACTGATGGGATTGTAGCAGAATCAGGAAGGAGGAAAGTCGAAGGCTGCATGGAGTTCGAATATAGATGGTGATGATGCCAGTCAGAGACTACAATAAAAAAGCAGTGGTGTGCTGGGTGCTGACCAGTAGCTGCTGGACATCATTGAATGTAAGGGGATTAGAGGGCATTTAGGGAGGTGGGCTAAAATGCAGATTGTAGGATTGTGACTTTAAGAGGAGGTCAGAACTGGAGGTACAGACTGGGGAGTCATCCAGGTGGAAGGCTTATGTTTAAAGCTCTAAGTGTGGCTATGCTGTTGTCCAAGGAGAATATACATTTAAACCGTAAGACCAAAGGCAGAACCTTGAGCCCACCTCCATTTCTCAGGTAGGAGGAGGAAGGGCTATTTAATAGGAATAAGCAGAAGGAAAGAATGATCAAAGGAAGTGGGAGAACTCAGAGTCAGTGTCTTGGAAACCTAGGGAGGAGCAAGTTCCAAGAATGGGGAATACTGAAATTTTGCATTTCTTGGAGAGATTGAGAGAAAAGATAGGTATGATGATTAGTAGATTGTGGATGGTCTTGAAGAGAGCAATCGTAGTAGGTGGGGTAAGTGAGTCAGGAATAAGAAGCAGTATCTGACAGTATAAGCAAAGACCTTTAGACAGAAGTGGGCTTGGTGAGGGCTGGATGATGGGCATCAGCCTGAGTGGATCAGGGCTCTGTAGTCCAGAGTAGTAGGGTGTTAGGTTGGATAGATGAGGTTAGATTCAAGATGTGTAGGCCTTTGAATTCCAAGATGAATATTTGGGACATGATCTATCAGGGAGTTAAGTTAAAGAAAGAAAAAGTAAAACAGTGACTTTAGGACATGAATTTGGCTGGCTCTGGCCCTGGGGCATGAATTAAAGGTTGGGGAACACAGAGGCAGGAAGATCAGCTAGAAGGATCTTATATTCATCTAGACAGGAGGGAGTGACATCCAAGCTGGGAAGGTGCTGGGACTTGTATGTAAGTACAGTTGACCCTTGAACAATCACGGGGGTTAAGGGCTCCAACCTTCCGTGCAGTTGGAAATCCACGTATAATTTATAGGTGGTCTTCTGTATCCAAGGTGGATTCAACCAACCAAGGATCATGTAGTGCTGTAGTATTTACTGTTGGAAAAAATCTGCGTGTAAGTGAACCCATGTTATTCTAGGGTCACCTGTATGTCTTCATTTACCCCTTACCACAGAGCTGGGGGGGTCAAAGTTATAAGGCAGTTGGAAATGTCAAAACTAAATGTAAGAAAGAAGAGAATTCTTAATATAGTACCTTTTCCTGATTCCTTTAGGTTTGGCAAATTAATCTCAACCGGCAGGAGATGAGAACTATTTTCTTGCTTTCGAGAGCGTCCCTAGCAGTGCTGATTTAAACTGCTAGTGTTGCTTTGTGTTCACTTTCAGAGGGAGAGTGTTTATTTCCAGAAATATTTGTATTTCAAACCAGTTTCCCTTTGTCTTCCTTTTTTAGGCTAGGTCCTTCCACAAAAGTGTTCCTGTGAAAGCATTTCCTGCTTTCCTTCAGACGGTAAGTAGATTAACAGAGAAGGTTGTTTAATTAATGAAGCAGATGTGTATAATTTTTTTTTTTCTATTTTATAAGGTTCCTAGTGCAGTTCTTTAGTTTGGAGTCTTTGTTTTGTTTTCCTCCCTGTGGTATGTTTTGTTAGTTACATTCTGCTTTTGGTGAAGGTCATGCCTCTGTTCCCCAGAGGCAGGTGAGTGGAATTGTCATTAGCACTGGCTGCAGCCATACTGCATCGTTTTGAATCTGTTTTGCCACTTACTAGATGTGGAACAAGTTCCTTAATCACTATGTACCTCAGTTTATTCATAGGTAAGATGGGAATCATAGGAGAAACCACCTCATAGGAGTGTTAGGCTACTTATAGCCATATAAGTATGACCTAATAGTCTATTATATTTTTTCTCCTTAGTGACCATATTGTAGCACTGGTTCCCGAAAGTGGTTCACAGACCAGTGCTGAGCTGGCTGCATCAGAATAATCTGGAAGGCTTCTTCAAAAATACAGATTCCTGGGGTCTTCTTACTAAATAAGACTCTTGAGGTTGGGGAGGGGAGCATTTCTAAGAGGATCTGTGATTTTTAAAAATTCCCCAGGTGATTCTGATGTGTAGCCTAGTTCAGGAACCATTGTGGTAAAATACATAAAGAAATGAGAATAGCTTCCGGTTAGTAGCACCTACTGTGGAACAGGTTCTGAGCTAGGTCATTGCATACGTTATTCCTAGGTGTGGTTTACTTCATTTTATAGATAGAAACCAAGGTTCAAAGATCTGTGATGTTTGAAAATGGAAAATTCATGCATTTTCTACAGTACCAAACATACCTTCTACATTTTTCCCTAAAATATATTTAAAGATTCATTTCTATCCTTTCACATCTTCTATCCTGGGTCTCAGATCTGAGTGTTTGAAATCATTTTCTTTCTTTTCTGGGTTCACTTATTATAAAAGTAATATGTTGATGTTTTAGATGTTCACATAAGAGGAGGCAAAATAAATTAGAATGCTCTCACAATTCTATCCTTTCCAGAGATAATGTCTGTTCATCTTTCTGGACTTCTTATGTTCATGTAATTATATATGTATTTTTTGTATAAATGAGGTGTCAAGTATCTCTTTCTGTGTCAACACATTGTTCTGTATCACCATTTTTAATTGTTATTTAGTGATGTACTATCATCTCTTTTGTCTCTCTTTTTTTTTTTGGCTGCACCACACAGCATGCAGGATCCTAGTTCCCCAACCAGGGATCAAATCCACACCCCATGCAGTGGAAGTGTGGAGTCCCAACCACTGGGCCTCTGGGGAAGTACCCCATCACCTGTCTTGACTTATAAGCTCTAAGAAAGTTCAAGACTTTGTCTGTTTTGTTCACTTTTGTGAAATAGGTTGTTCTCAGCTCTGCTTGTCCATTAGAATCACTTGGGGAACTTTTAAAGCAAAACAAAGCAATATTGGGCCTGTCCCCAAACCAGTTAAATCATATCAAAGAGGTTGGATCTAGGCACTGATACTTCTTAAAAGTTCCCCCAGTAATAATGAAGTGCAGCTAGGCCTAAGAACCAGTATCTTAGGCTAGTGGTGTGGTCCCCAGTCCAGCAATATATGCCTCGGATATTGTTAGAAATGTAGATCTTGGGATCCACCACAGACCTAATGGATCAGAAACTCTAGGGGCTGGAGCCTAGCTCTGTTTCCGTCCTGTGCCAGGAGAAAGTGGAGGGACTACATGGTAATTTCCGAGGAGCTGCTTCTATCCTACACCCTCATTCCAGCTGGGGCACATCTCTTCTCATTTGTTTTATATATGGAGCATCTGTTAATTACTTTGTTCAAAGAAAAGGTTTTGCTGTTTAAAAATGGTTTGAAAATGACTAGTCTAGGGTAGAGTATGTTGTGCTCTATAGATGAGGTTTTAAGAAGCTATGTTCAGAAATTGTAACATCTTTTTTTTTTTTAAATGTCGGTTCATTGGTTTATTTATTTATTTTTGGCTGTGTTGGGTCTTAGTTTCTGTGCAAGGGCTTTCTCCAGTTGCAGCAAGTGGGGGCCGCTCTTCATCGCAGTGCGCGGGCCTCTCACTATCGTGGCCTCTCTTGTTGCAGAGCACAGGCTCCAGACGCACAGGCTCAGTAGTTGTGGCTCACGGGCCCAGTCGCCCCGTGGCATGTGGGATCCTCCCAGACCAGGGCTCGAACCCGTGTTCCCTGCATCGGCAGGCAGATTCTCAACCACTGCGCCAGGGAAGCCCAGAAATTGTAACGTCTTTGAGAATTTCGCAATGAATTTGTTACTTTGAACAATTTATTTACCATTAACCATGAACCAAATCCTAATTTGTGAATGCCCAGTTGAGCTCTAATTTTGAGGTCATGTTTCATCTGTATTTTAATGGAATTTTCTCCTAATTATAAAAGCATTACGTTCTCATAATAGAGATTTGGAAAATATAAAAAGAATATTAGAAGAAAATAACAATCACCTACAATTCCCAGACCCAGAGGTATATGCTGTTTACACTGTTCTTTCTTTTAAATGAATTTCTGTGTATATTTAAAGTCACACTTTATATGGCAGTGTCCTATTTATCAAACATTTAACCACATCATTAGAAATATTAATACAATATTTGATGGCTGTATAATACTCTCTCATGTGCTTGTATCTTAATTTCATTAACTATTATTTATAATTGGATATTATAAAACTATTAAAATGAACATAATAAAGTTCTTAGAGATGGAAAGTTAATAACAGTATCTGAATTAATTTTTTAAAAAAGTAGGTTACAGAACATTATGAATAGCATGAGCTCTTTTTTCCAAAAATAACAGAGAACATGTGAAAGTACACTAAAATATCTTCAAAGTTTTTTCTCTTAATGTGTTTTTTATTTAATATCTACAAATGAATATATATGTATGCATGTATTATAAAGGATAACATAATGAACACCCATGAACTCACCACTTAATCCAGGAACTAGAATGTCACCATTAAATTGCACTCATGTGTTTTCCCACTTTCATCCCCTTGACTCTGCCTTCCTCCTCCAAGTAGCTATCCTGAATTTTGTATTTATTGTTATCTTGCTTTTATTCTAGAAAAGCTTTTCCCTATTTTATGTATTCCTAACCAAAATGTTGCTTTTTTTTGGCTGCATTGGGTCTTCGTTGCTGCGCGTGGGCTTTCCCTAGTTGCATAGAGCGGGGGCTACTCTGTTGTGGTGCGCAGGCTTCTCATTGCGGTGGCTTCTCTTGTTGTGGAGCACGGGCTCTAGGCATGCGAGCTTCAGTAGGTGTGGCATGTGGGCTCAGTAGTTGTGGCTTGTGGGCTCTAGAGCACAGGCTCAGTAGTGGCACATGGGCTTAGTTGCCCTGCGGCGTGTGGGATCTTCCTGGACCAGGGATCGAACCCATGTCCCCTGCATTGGCAGGCGGATTCTTAACCACTGCACCACAAGGGAAGTCCCTTAGGTTTTTTGTTTTTTTTTTGAGCTGTATAAAAATGGATCATTTTCTGTTTATGTCTTCTGGGTTACACACACACACACACACACAGAGTGTTTCTAAGATCTGTCCATATTATTGCATCTAGCTACATTTATTTCATGGCAGCTTAATATTTCATTGTGCGAACATTTATTTTTTTGTCAAAGAACTTCTGGATTGTTTCCAGGTTTTTTGCATTTGTGCACATTAATGCACGTTTCTTGCCGTACATATATATAAGTGCAGGGTTTCAAAAGTAGAGAGTGAATTTGTTTGTATGTACACTCATCCGTTTATAGTGTATAGAAGTCTGGGAGAACACACAGTCCTTTGGACAAGCATATGCTCTCTGTGGGTCACACAGGTTGTGCTGCAGAACTCTTAAGGGGAGCTGTACACGTGGGCTGAGAAGGCGGTGGGGCTGCTTCACATCGTGCAGTGCAAACGTAGGTGGCTTCTCTGTTTAATAAAAATTTACAAATTAATAAGATTGAAAAGCATAAAGAGCACTGCCCATCGTCAGTGTTTTCCATCCTGGCCCCCGGTCTCAGAGAAAGGTTTGTCAAGTTTTGTGTGATGCGGGGAGCATGGTGTGACGTTTATAGGGACCTGTGATTGTTCTCCCTGGCTGCAAATTGTTTTCCAGCAAGAACATGGACACCCTTTAAACTTTTTCACAAAATAATTTTTTAAAGAAACAACTTGAGCTCCCCCTCATGGCACTGTGTGTTTCTGTGTGTGGGGGGGGAGTGTTCATTTTCCTCAAATGAAACACCCCTTTTGTATTCTACAGAATCTGGTAATAAGACCTGGCATATAATTTCTCTGTCACATTTTGACCAGAACACTAAATTATGATCAGAATTGGCTTGATGTTTCTAGTACTAGATCTGTGACATAGTTTTACTGGCTTCATAGAAAACTTAGAAGATGTCTTTATTCTCTCTCTCTTTTAAAATTTTCATTTACATTCTTAGTATGTAGAAGGCCATCTCAGGAAAACTAAAATAGCCTTAATACCTGCTGGGTTTGTTTTTGTTTCTTTTAAAGACTTAATCATTCTTTAATCTAGTGACCATTATTCTCTTTTTTCAGGTTGCTCTGGAGGACTATTTAAAGAAAATTCAACAAGTGGATTTTGATATATTCCACCCATCTTTACAGCAGAAGAATACTTTACTTCCATTATCTTTGTATATTCAGTCATGGAGAAAAAGATATTAAAATAATTTCGTGGCACTGATATTTACTTTTATTAGTTTTACAAAAGTGTACTAGTTTAGGGTTCTTGTTTACAAACAACAGGAACTGTTTACATAAGGAGAAAATTCACTTATTGGATGAGTGTGTAGGTCACAGAATTAATGAGAAGTTGCTGTGGGGCCGTGATGCCCAGATTCTGCTGCAGGCACCACCCTTGTCACCAGCAGCCCAGACAGTGTCTGCTGTGCCATCCCTGCAGAGTCCGAGCCCCAGGAGGGAGTATCGTTTTAGCTGTGTTTAGGCTGCAGGCCATGCTTCAGCCACCAGAGGGCAGGGGGAAGCACGTCTCCTCCCGTCCTCACCCTTAGAGAAGAATGGGGAAGGGGCTCAAGAAGTACTAGGTTTGCATGCTGAGCAGCCAAAACCCAGGTGTCCAGGACAGCTGGGAAATGCATTTATTTAGGGATCATGAAGAGTGAAGTTAATATTTGAGGAGTGTCAGTCGCTGTGTTGAGGGCCTTGTATCTCTAACATTTAATCTTTACCACCCTGTGAAAATTTGTCCATGATGATAAAATAACTTATTTCAAGAGCTCGAACCCTAATTTGACTTTAGATCTGGCCGATTTTGAAGGCTTTTACTTTTTTGTTTACCCTTTTGCTTCACTCTCTATTACTGAGCATTATCATCATGAACAAAACTGTATTAACAAAATGTGTATTAATGTAGGGCTTCCCTGGTGGCGCAGTGGTTGGGAGTCCGCCTGCCGATGTAGGGGATGCGGGTTCGTGCCCCGGTCTGGGAAGATCCCACGTGCCGCGGAGCGTCTGGGCCCATGAGCCATGGCCGCTGAGCCTGCGCGTCCGGAGCCTGTGCTCCGCAACGGGAGAGGCCACAACAGTGAGAGGCCTGCGTACCACAAAAAAAAAAAAAAAAAGTGTATTAATGTAAATTAAATTAACAAAATTGTATTGAACATTCATTAAGGGGATACTACATTTTTAAAAACTACTATACTAGTTGAGCTTCCCACTAAAAAGCTCTGTGCTGTATACTTTACAGTGTTCTCATCTGATCTTCAAAACTGTGAAACAAGGAACATTTTTGGTTATTAAAAATTTTTAATTATAACATACGTACTAATTGCAAAAGCCAAAATTGTTTACATTGCTGGTAGTTGGCAGATCTGGACTCTGAATGAGTCTCTGACTCCTAAAACCAGAATTATGCCCTAGTTTCCTTTTCCTTTCTTTTTAGTGGTCATGTTTCCTGCCCACTCCCACCTCTGTTGTACCATTTCTCTATGCCATCTCAAGCCTTTGATTTCAGCTATGAATTAGTGCCTACTTCAATTGTGAATTAATGATGGCTTAAAGTATTACACTTTTGCAAATAAAATTCAAATGGAGAGCTGCTTGAGGGCAAGAATACATAGTTTTATTCATCTCGGGATTCCCCCAGCACCTCGTATGGCTTCTGATTTAGAGCAAGTGGAGATTAATAAATGTATAAATGAATGAACATACAGTACTGTTGTTTATGTTAGTGTACTTTTGGTTTATACTGATGCTGAAAGAATATCCTCTTATTTAATCCTGTGGCTTTAGAGCGCTTAAAGCTTATCTAAAAGAGGAAAATCCAGGGAAGTGGGACACATTTCCTCTTGGGATTCTGAATGGTCCGGAGTTGAAAATTCATTAGAGATAGTCTTTATTAGTAAGAATTGTCTGTGGCTCTTACCAGGTTAAATCTGGCAGCAATCAATCGCTAAGCATCTTAGTTCCTATCTAAGAAGGGTTAAAAAGAGGGGTTTAAACACTCAACTGGATTACTGGATTTTTTACTGGCTCAGAAGCCAATTTACCTTAAGTAAATAATTTCAAAATACTTTCTAAGCCATTTGAAATTTGATGCTTAGAGAGTTGGATGAACTGACGTTTCCAGTCTCCTAGAGATTAAGATAGGGTCTTATTCGGTGACATTTACTGTACTATTAATTTCCTGGCATAAAAGATACTCCCGTAGATTGTGCCAACATTGTTTTTCATTTTTCAGATCTCTTTTTTAGAGCATTTAAAGGAGTCAGATACATTTTCAAACCATTTAAGATGTATTTTGATATTGAATAGGTAGAGAGCAACAGATAACAAATGTTAAGTACTAATCTCAATGTAGGTAAAGTTGCTTATCATAAAATGCATTTGAGCAGTTCCAAATCAGCTGGCATTATTTTTTCTCTTGGTTAAATCTCTCCTTTTGATGAAATTAAATTACTCTTGAGAAATACAACAGCAGTTAACCCGTAGCACGAACTTGGACAGGTGATGTGCTCTTGCGCTCCTAAGCTTTGATATTCACAGAGCAGTAGGTCTTTATTTTCCAAAGGATAAAACTGCCTCAGTGCAAGGTCACACAGCCATTAGAACTAGAGCTGGATGCCAAACCCACATTAGTTCAATGCCAAAGCCCACAACCCATATATTTTTACTATTCTTGAGATTGTAAAATAAACAGCCAAGTTTAAAAGCTCAAGGGCACAACTTTTTTCCAGAAATAAGTGTTACTGCATAAATTTCAGGTACAAATTAGGTTAAGAAGTATAATTACTACATAAATTCCAACTACAGGGCTTCCCTGGTGGCGCAGTGGTTGAGAGTCCGCCTGCCGATACAGGGGACACGGGTTCGTGCCCCTGTCCGGGAAGATCCCACGTGCCGCGGAGCGGCTGGGCCCGTGAGCCATGGCCGCTGAGCCTGCGCGTCCGGAGCCTGTGCTCCGCAATGGGAGAGGCCACAACAGTGAGAGGCCCGCGTACCGCAAAAAAAAAAAAAAAAAAAAAATTCCAACTACAAATTAGAGAAATAAGTAAACAACTGAAATAGATATTAAGTGCTGGTCACTGGGTATATATAGGAAGGACACGTAACCACTTTGGAGGTCAAAGTTTTCTCAGAGGAGGGGGCGTGTGAGGAGTTTCAGGAAGGTCGGGTAGGAAGCAGGGTTTGGGAAGGGGGTGCAGATGTTGTGGGGAGGTCCTGGCCGAGGAAGCAGTCGCAACAAAGGCCAGGAGGCCAAACCAATAGCCTCTCTAAGATTTCATGTTTTGGCTTCAACTTACTTAAGTAAAAAGAATGTAATGTAACGTCCAGAGTTCTTAGGAAAGTTTGTGAATAAAAAGTGTCTACATCTCCTGGTCTAGTGAAACATTTTGACTTAAGATCACAGACTTGGGAGTTTATATTTTGCCTGTTTCACCAAATGCCTAGGTGTCCTTGGATTTGTTTTAGCTCATATAAATAGGACTTCCCTGAAGACATGGCCTGATTGATTGCCTTGTCCAGAAAGATCCACAGAGTTGTAAACATTATGCTGACAATTATTGAAAACAAAACAAAACATTGTCCTACTGTTTGGAGGACTAATAATCCACATACACCCAGAATTGGGAAGGATGTCGGAGGTAGACTGGAGGGAACGGAGAGGAGATGGGGAGTCATTGTGAAAATACCTTAAATAACACTTAACTCTACCTGCTTTCTCCTATAATGAATATGTATTTCTTGGAGTATAACTGCAAAGTTCTTTCTAAAGAATTAAGATCTTCAAATGAGAAAGATGGTGGTAAGCAAGGACTGTAATGAAATTTATGGAGAGGTGAACAGATAGATGGTCAAATTTTTACATCATGTCTGTTTATACCAATTAAAAAAGTTTGATCAAAAAAAAGGAATAGGGCTTCCCTGGTGGCGCAGTGGTTGAGAGTCCGCCTGCCGATGCAGGGGACGCGGGTTCGTGCCCCGGTCCGGGAGGATCCCACATGCCGCAGAGCGGCTGGGCCCGTGAGCCATGGCCGCTGAGCCTGCGCGTCCGGAGCCTGTGCTCTGCAACGGGAGAGGCCACAACAGTGAGAGGCCCGTGTACCGCAAAAAAAAAAAAAAAAAAAAAAGGAATAATGTTTGGCACATTTTAAAATATGTAATTCATTATGTAGTTTAAGCTGAATAAAGGAATTTTGAAAGTTTAGATACAGAGCAGTATAGTGCTATGAAGTACTTCTTTTAAGAGTGTGGGCTGTGAAGGAGCCTGACTGGGTTCAGTTCCCAGTTTCACCACCCTAATAGAAGTGTGACCTCAGCAAGTTATGAGAACCCTCCTGTCCCTAAGTTGTGCCTTTGTAAAATGGGCAAAATCATAATATCCACCTACACAGTTGCTGTGAGGAGTAAGTTAATACTTGCAAAGTGCCTAGAAGAGGGACCTACATGTAGTAAACATTAAACGACGTTGTTAATCTTAGTATACAGAAGTCGCAAACCGGCAGCCTGAACCAAGCCAGGCCTTCAGGCATATTCTGTTATTCGGGCATGGCATTTGAAAAAGAGTGAGAGATTGAATGCCTTTAGACAGGACAGGTACTCTCCATTTGGCTACAGGTCTCAGCATGAGCTACTATCTCACACCCAACGTGATTCATAAATTCGTGTTACCTGCTTACTCTGTAAGCACTCGAGTTTGCAAGCAGTGGTTTAGGAGAATTTGTGGATGATGGATTAATAAGTGATCACCAACCGGAGGCTGGTTTCTCTAAGCATAGCCATGCTTTCTCCCTGCAAGCCAGCTGTATTTTAACTATTGTTTACACATCTATCCCTCACTCAGCCAAAGTTCTTTTGAGTGCAAGACAATGTTCTATTCATCTTTGTGTCCCCAGAACCTATCATAGATCCTGATGCTACTCCATAAACCTTTATGGTCTGAATGAACATACCAGAGTATAAGGTGGGATAGTGGGATCCGAGGAAATGGGTTGGGGCTGATATGTACAGGACAAACTGGAAGTTCATGTCAAAGATGTGGTGGGCAGGGCTTCCCTGGTGGCACAGTGGTTAAGAATCCACCTGCCAATGCAGGGGACAAGGGTTTGAGCCCTCGTCCGGGAAGATCGCACATGCCATGGAGCAACTAAGCCCGTGTGCCACAACTACTGAGCCTGCGTGCCACAACTACTGAAGCCTGTGCCCCTAGAGCCCAT